ATTTAAATCACTAAATCAATAGGCTAATTTATAAATAATGCAATGAAAAGTTGAGTTACTGAAAGTAACTATTTGATTTAAATTTATTTTATTATTAAATTAAATAGTTTCTTTAATTTGTGCTATTGTAATATACATATAAAAATATATAATATAAAAAAAATTAATGCTAAAAATAATTAAATAAGTTAAAATTAAAACAATTAAATAATAACAATAAAAAGTTAATTTACTATTTTTTTTCCTATCTAGATTTAGCAGTTCAAGCACAATAAATCATTCATTCAGCATGATACCCCAAAGTTTGAAGCATACTGTCTACTGCTCAACAGTTGTAGAGGCACTGTTCGCTGCTTAGATTGCTATAAAACGCGCAGCAGCAACGGCCGCACAGCTGGTTTGAGTGTGACTGTACAAAGCTAATATTCAGTATGCGAATTTCTCATATGCAATATGCATTTTATTTACACAGTATTGTTACTAGATACATATATAATAATATACATATATGCGATTAAATGTATTTAGTGTTTTTACATAATTGAATTTACTATATGCTCGACATGTCCGGTTCGTTATAAAATCTAACTAAATTCTAAAAACTAACACAATAGACAGTTCCCGGGGACAGGCAATGCCATTTGTTGTGTCCGCCTGTCCTGTCCGCCTGTCCGCGTGTCCGCCCGACCCAACTGACTATGGCAAAAACTTCGGTCAACTTACGAACTTGGCAAGTTGGCAAAATTTTCATTTTCAATACAGCGTTTCATCGAAACTTCCGCTGACTGACGGACGGCGCCAATGATAATGATAATGGAGGGGCATCGATTGATTTCAGAGCAAACTATTTGCGTCGAACAAACTACGAGCCGAATGCGAATCGAGTGCCTCAGTTGGCTGCTGTTTCTGGGACGCCGTACAGTAAATTGTCCAGTTTCAGTTTGTTTACCTTGTCGGCAACGGGCGCCCCGTGGCCGGGCCGCCCCCAAAACGTTTCGAATGTGTCGAAGTGCTGATTGCACAGGTCGCGCTCTCTCTGCCTCGAGACGCTGACCGAGCGCCGCTTCTGCGATATTTGCACATTCAGATCGTGCAGGTAGCGCATGTCCGCGGCCGTTTGTATCCTGCAAGGATGTTGGTCGATCGCAGTTGATGCGTTGATGTTGTCGATTGTTGCATTGATCGATAAGTTGTTTTTGGTTTTCAAAGTATTTCGATTTCGATATCAGTTTCGGTTTCGGTTTCGGTTTTGCAAACGTTTTTGCACGGGGATACATAGAAGATTTGCATTATCATTGGGTTGTTTTGTGGTTCGGTTAGATTTGGTGAGTTTGGGTTTGCTCTTTTGGTTGCTATACTTTCACTTGTATTACAATTGATATTTTCTTGCTGGATGAGCCAAAAGAAGTGATAGAGAAACCATTATAAACACAAGGATGACGCAATCATTTGCAAATTATTGTCAATATGAGCCTGGCGAGGTCAGGTCAGTTCAGCTCAGCTCAGCCCAGCCCAGATTTGATATTTTCGCAGAGCAAGCAAATGAGTAATGCCAACAGAAACGGAAATGAAGGTAATGGTAATGCGGGTGCAAACACGGATCGAATCGATAAATCAGAAAATGAGACAGAGACACAGAGAGAGAGAGAGAGACAGAGACATCTACATATGCAAATACAAAGACAACAAAGACTGCAGCAGAGACAACAGTTGGGGGCAGTCGGGAGACTGGCCTAGCGTATGAGCAGGGTGAGGCGCTTGAGGCAACAGGCCAGTGCTCGAGGCGGGGCTTTGTCGCACTTGCAGTTGCAGTTGCCGTTGCCGTTGCAGTTGCAGTTGCAGTTACAGCTGCAGCTGCAGCACTGCAGTTTGCAGTTGAGGTTCTTGGAATGATGCTTCATGTGACTAATGTTTTTGATGATGTTACTGATGCTCTGCGCTTTGTTGGACTTTGTCTTGTGCTTGGGTGGTGCGTACCTATCATGGGAGGGCGTCCGCTTAGTCACGTCCGTGCTGGAGAGGCTGATGGGTCGGTGTAGTCCGCGCCGGCGCGCCAGTAAGGGCACCAGCTCCACGCCGCCTCCTGCGTTCTCCGCACTGGGGTCCGGCGTGGCCAGCGAAGTGCTGTTGGTGGTGCTGCCCGCGCAGAGGCCTCGTGGCAGCTGGGGGCAAGGCTTGTGGGGCTTGCACTCCTTGGCTGGGGATCGCAGGCCGCAGGCAGGTGGCGCTGGGACCTTTCGGGATGGCTTCAGTGGACTATTGGAGCTGTTGATGGCGGGGCAGTTGCAGGTGCAAAGCTCGCAGCAGCGCTGCGGCTTGGATGGCTTGTTGCCTCTGGACTTGCGAAATGTGTTCTTCTCAGCGGGAGTCACGGGATTGTCCTGGTCGAGCTCCTTCAGCATTTCCTTATTTGTCCAGCCCTACAATCAATAGAATCTCCTTCAAAGCGGGGAACTCCTTCTCCAACTTGTCTGTGATGCTTACCAGCGATTTCATAAAAGTGTTGCCTACTTGCTTGGGACTGCGCCACGGCTTGCCCCCTGGCCCAGCCTTGCCCCAGGGCTCTTTGCAGGGCTGGAAGGGAGAGATGGCAAATGGGATTAAGGAGATCGCCTAAGGGTGGACAGTAGCTGCCGCTCACCGGCTTTTCCAGCTTCGCCTGGAGCTTCTTCTTCTGGTTGGCCAGCTTCTCCTGGAGCGGATGCTCGCTCTCGCTGTTCACCACAATCTTGTCGAGCATCGGCTTGCCCTTGCAGGGCGGCGAGGGCTTGTAGCGCAGCTCAATGTCCAGATGCCCTTTATTGCGAAACGACATTGAGGGGTGCTCTTTCAGTTCGATGTGAATACTCTCACCGTTGGCATTGTGACCCAGGCTGACGCCGGGCTTGAGCGGGAGCTCGCGCTCGCAGATGGTCACAGTGCTGCTCCGAGGGCCGCTCTCCTGCAGGTGATGAATCGAGTGGGCGTGGGTCAGCCGGCCGCCCGCCCCGGGCGGGTGATGATGGTGATGGTGATAGACGGCCAGTGGATTCTTGTGGCACTTCTTCTGCATGGTGAAGTAGTCGTTGTAGCGACAAGGCTGCAGCGAGTTGATGCGATGGGCGGTCGTCTGGGCGGGGGGCATGCAAAGGGGACACGCATTACATAAGCAGCGAGCGGCTGCAGCAGCAAACTTACCACCGTGGGCGTCGAGTGCAGTCCGGCTGCGGTGATGTCCTTGCGTCGCACCTCCACGTTGGGCGCCCCACCCCCTGGCCTGCCCCACGGGCAGTGCTGCAGAAACAAATCATAGTACTGCAAATGCAAAAAAAAAGAAAAGAAAAAATAGAAATAGAAATAGAAATAGAGAGGGATGTTGATAACACTGGCTGTGTGTGGGTGTCCATTTATGGGTTTATGCCTTTATCGATTCACTCGCAGCCTATATTCGGCACAGCGGAGGAGCCGGGCTCGCTCTTGCCTGCCTCCGGCCTTCCGCTTGTTTACGGAAATTGACAATGCCCAAGCCCCCACAATTGTTTGTAGGTTGTTGTTATAGTTGCAAGGTGCGGTTTGCTTTCCATTCACCCATTTTTATTTTCGCCAAGTGAATTCCGCTGGATTTAAGTCACATTCAGAGTCGGCAGCACGCGAACTGGCGAACTGACGAACTGATGCCAGCTCAGTGAAGCTCAGTGACCGACAATGTTGCTTCCACTCCTGCTCCTGCTCCTGCTTCTGCCTGGCTGCTTGCCTTGATTACTTACGTATTGGCAAAGTCAAACTTGTCAAATGGTTTGTTGAACCAAATTCTGGCCAAGTTATTACAATTGCTTGCCGCAGGTCTTTGAACTCGACTCAAGTGTGGCTGCTGACGTGGGCGCGCATACTTTGTTGTCATGCGTAGACTACCCAGGTAAAATATATTTGATGTTGATATATAACCAAGCTACGCTTTCGGGCTTGCATAACCCACAAAGTCCCATCAGGATATTTTGTATTTTGGTGGTTCTATCTACATTAAGACTTCGATAAAAGGACACCATGATGGTATTTTATCACTTGATGAGCCTTTCCTGAAAACTTCTTCTTCATCTATTCATCGAGATACTTTACCGGCTACTGCATTTCCTAGGCTTAACTTATACCCGTTTAAATGCTGTTCTATAATATCGAAAATGTGTAGATACATAAATGTATAAATAATATGAAATAGGTCGATGTAATTTTGCTTTTGATGGAAGTTAATCTTAACTCCATCTGGAGGGTTTCTGTTAAGTTCGCTCCAAGTCTCAATGCTTTTACCAGCTGCTTAACGGGGTTCTACATTTCATAGTTGTCATTAATTAGACAATATTTACTCAAGTGTATTTTTCAAATTTATTAAAAAAAGAACAGGTAAATCTATTTATGGGATAGATCTAAGAGATTCTCACACATTTTTGTTGATTTATCTAATTCTCGCTTATAATCGCAACTGTCAAGTGGGAATAAGTGGATAAGTGGAACCTATTGGGTAATCTGAGTAGTTTGAGTCTAGAGGAGCTGTAGATTTTAGAGGGGCTTCTAGATTCCAGAGGGCCCTTTTGAATTCACTTTTTACATTTGAAATAGACTAGCTTAAAAAATAAATAACTCAATCTGTTCTTCGTAGCTATTATCTAATAAGAATATATAATATCTCTTGAAAAGAATCTCATTAAAAAAAAAAATTAGATTACTGTGTTCTAAAAGATTGAGGGATAAAAAAGAATAATTATTATTCGTCATTGTAATGTAAAAACTTGAAACTATACTTTTATAAACTATTTTCTAAATTTATATGTATATATTAACAACTGAATTATCTATGATAGCACATAAAAAATGATGCAGCTTTTGGATTTCCCACACCTTCTTATCCTTATTGGCTTAGATAACCACTGCTATACCATTTCTGGTACTGGCTTATATCTAAAGTAATCCCATCTAAATTGGAATTAATTAAATTTGATTTCAGTTTCATCATCGCGCTATGATTTTCAACGTGAAGTAAGGTATTATACGTAAATATATTAAGTCGGGTTTTGCAACATTTGATTTTCACTTTTGTGGGTTACTCTACCTCCTGTTTATCCTTCTCCTTGCGGGCGTTTTCCTCGGCCTTGCGACGACGCCACATCCGTAGGCTCTCCTCGGCATTCTTGCGCTCGACCAGGCGCTTCTTTTCGTCGCACCACATCAGCGGATGTTGAATGTGGTCGTGGCAGAAGGTGCCCATCTCATCGCTGGTTGTCATCCTGGCTAGCAGCTGGAGAAGCGGAAGTATCGCCGCGCTCAGCAAATGACGCGCTACTGAAACAGCGCCGTGGCGAACCCAAACCTTCGACATCCAAGTCGCGCTAGCCGTCGCGTCGCGGCGCGTCTCGTCGATTGGGCTGCGCTGATCCGTGCCAGGCACGGCTCGGCTATTGGGCTCAGCTCTGGGCCTGCCCAACCCCTTCGGTTGTCTAGGCAGCGCCGCTAGCCAGCCAGTTATTTATAGTCTAGGTTAGGGCGGTGCACAGACTGCACGTGAGTGGCGCGCGAATGTCCTTGAAGTTGTTTGTTAAGTCAGGCCAGGATTGCATTTCATTTGCGTAACTCGCTCGCTCGCGCGCCATTTAAATATTTTTGCAGTTAGCCAAACCGCCTCTGTTTGCCTTTTGCTAGCGCTTCGAGTGGATCTGGGCGAGGCTTGGACATAAAATAAATGTATTTTATTGTAAGCTATGCGAGCTGTGGTCTACTGCTCCACTGAGGCCCAGTTGCCCCAATTTAGCCCAAGTCGCGTGGCTCTTCTATTAAAATAGAAAGTTACCAAAACTATCAATATTGGCCAGGAATTCAGAGCGCTGCAATATTGCGTGCGCCGCTTTATTGTTAACGTTAACCCAATTAAGACGCCTCGGCTAACTTGTTGATGTTTGCCTAGCTGTCGGGCACAGCTGTGAGCCCTGCTGACTCCTGCCCCCATGTCAGGACACACACACATAGAAAAGTCTGTCTCTGTGTTGGCTGTTGGCTTGGTCCAGCTGTGAGCAGTGAGACGCCGTTGGAGTTTTGTTGTTGTTTTTATTAATTTGATTTATTCTTTGATTGACTATCGGTTCGTTTGCTTAACAAAATTGCATTTATTCAACTATTGAAATATACAAATTCCGTAGTATAATATAATTATCATTATCAAAACATAGTCAACAATATTTGCACATTTATTCTGACCAATTACCCGAGCACCAAACTGTTTTATCAACTATGCAAATGGAGGCTATCGCTAGTGAAATGGGATTCGCTTAACACGGCTGTAAAGGTGCCTTTGGCTTAACGAGACTACTTCGAAAACCGAAACGGGGACTCAAATTAGTTCATAAATTACAAAAGTTCTTAAAATAAATTTACAGTTACAACTCAATCAGTTTGACAAAGATTGCTTTCTGTTTTTGTGGTTTGTTGTTCACATTGTGGGCACAAAATAAAAACATATTTAAATTAAGACTGGGGCAGCATTGTTTAAATAACATTTCATATCTTCCTGATTGACCTTAACAACTATGGGCGATTATATAAGAATGCTGTGCATTTCATGCACGAACGGTTCAAAGCTCAACTCAAATTAAATTAGTAAAGAAGATACAAGAAAATGTAAAGGATCGAAGGTATATATAAATTACAAAAGGTTTGTGCTGTCTGAAAGGGTTTGCAGTGCCGATTGAACCATTTAGGCATGAAATGTCCGACGAAACAAATCAACAAGTAATATATAAGTATATGTATAAATTGAAGGGTAATTCATTAGGCACTGCTCTCTACATAAATATCGTTGCTTGCATTGACTAATCAACATTTTCATTAATTCAACAGAATAACAAGAATTGTGCGAATTGAAATTTCCTTCACTATGCAATTCCGAATTTCAATTTCTTTCTTTTGTTTTCCCTCTTTTGTTACTTGTGTTTTCCTTAACAAATATATAAAAAATTCAAAAGATTTGCAATTTCCGCTTATTAAAAACTCCTTTCAAAGTGTTCATATACATATAGATGTGTGTATATATGTATGTATAACGTTAGTAATAGAGTTAATCGCTGTCGGTCTGTAAATTTGTTACATTCTTCTGTGTACATTTGATGCAATTATTTACAGTGTCAATAACAATGCTTAAAAACTAAATAATAAATTTTTTTGTTTTTCTTTTCTTTTTTTGTAGATTTTCTAGTTTCTTTTTACAAATGTTTAATTGTCGCTCCCATTCGCTGACTTATCTAGCATTAGGTGCTGTCTGCCTGCTTCTAACTTAGGACTATGTATACATATATATATATATATTAATTTGTATAGATGTCTGGTGGACTCTACTTCATGCGATTGATGACTAAGTCGGCGACGACCTGGAGGCCCTTCTGGTAGGGCGACTCCGTCAGCTCCTGGGCCAGCCGTATCGCTTCGTTGCAGTGCTTCTTGGCCAGGAAGCGCGTCTGCTCGAGTCCATGCGATTTGTGAACCAGCTCGAAGGCCCGCTCCACATCGCCCGGTTCGCTGAAGCGACGCATCACCATCGGATTGAGCTCGGGATACTGAAACCGAAACAAATGGGAAACACGAAACTCGAAATGAAATAAGCTAATATTATTAAAACTTTAGTAATCGGCGGAGCGCCACCCTCGCACATAGCTTTGAGGCTCGCATGCCAATGCAAACAACAATGCGAGACAGATTTGCATTAGCCCGTCTCTATGGCCCCATGATACGCATGGATATGGCTAGTTTTACTTTTTAACTGGCCAACTAAGCTGACGGGTGATCGTCACTGATTAGCGGCTGCTTTGAACGCACTGCACGTGCGCGTTTACCACGCTTCGCATATTAAGCTGCCTCGAAAACGCCATACAAACGCATTTCATGGCACGCGATGCGACACTCTCAGCTCGCCGCATGATATCATCGACGCGCACCAGGTGGACCGAGTGGGAAATGCACATAGACAGCGCTGTGCAAACTCAGTTCTGGCCAATTAACAGCAGCCGCCGGCCGTCGGCTGTCGGCCGTTGTTTTCACATGATTTTAAGTCATATACTTGGTAGTCAGTCAGGCTGTTGTCGGAGCAATAAGGAAGTCTGTCGGCGGCTCACCTTTTCGCATGCAAAGAGAACCGGCGCCGTGGCCAGGCCCAGTTTCAAGTCAGCTGCCGTCGGCTTGCCCATCTGCTCTGTGGAGGAGACGAAGTCCAGCATGTCGTCCACCAGCTGGAAGGCCAGCCCGATATTCCGTCCGTATTGAAATGCCACCTCCGCCACATTATCATCGGCCTGGGCGATAACAGCGGTCTGCCAAATATCAAAATCAAAGCCGAAATTAAAACCAAATTCAAGACAAATATTTCAAAGTCAGTCGCCGGCCAATCAACTCCAGCCATCGACCACCCAAATGGGCACAATGACAAACGCACTCGGCCAAGTCGATTTGTTTGCTATTGCGAGTGCAGTTGCAACTGCAATTTGAAATGCAATTGCAATTGCCATGGCGATTCGAGTTGCATGTTGATTGCCGGGCTTACTCACCGCCTTCAACGCATTGGCAATCAGCGATGCGGTCTTCCTGTATGTCTTGGTCAGATAGTGCGCGAAGCGCTCGTTCTCCGTTTCCCTCGAGCCCAGCTGCATGAACTCTCCTTGAACCAAATCGGTCAAAATCTGAAATCAATCAAAGGTAAATTGTTTAGTTCCAAGAGAGCTTGAATCAATATATCAGATACATAGGCCTATCCCCCTTTATTGCCTGCAAACAAACACACTCTGCCCAGCTTTGTACACACATGTATAAAAACTAAATAGTTTTCTGAATCACATGAATAGAAAACAATAATTGTGAATTTTGCTGAGCTTTGCCAAGCGAGGCTATTTTGCAATTTACATAGATTCATATGTACACAGACATTTGCGGACAACTTCCGCATGGCTGACTGCTCACTGTTCAAATGCAAAGGGCAAACACAGATGTGCCAAACGATCTAAGCAAATACAATTTCATTGAGAGTCTGGGCTGTCGCTCAACAGGATGGATGTTGCCACGCCAAAGCTAAACGTATGAGCATTGAGATGCTCATGCGAGGGCAGCTCGCGGCGTTACAAAAATACAGCTATCTATCTAGTTGCCTAATTCACATTATAAGTTAGCCTTCAGTAACTATAATACGATTCGACCTGAGCTTCTCCGATTCCATTCGCATAAATATATATTTGAAATATAACTTACATTATAAACTCAACTTCAGCAACTTGTAGTTCGATCTAAGATATATCTTAGATATATATTACTATATTAAATATACGTAAATATTTACATTTTATTTAAATCTAAGCTAAACATATAATCTAAGCATAAAGCAAATATATATATTTTTAATTATTACCAAACGTGTTGCAATCTGAAGATCTTATACACCTAATCATGTTAGCTTTGACAGCATCAAAAATATGAGTAGAATTTAAACAATGAAGGACAAAAGTCTTTTGACCACACATAGAAAAAACTTAAACCGCTTATTTCTGCATGCTGAGAGAGGTAAGGGTATCCACAATATTTTTAAGAGAGAGCAAATATTAAAAGCTTTAAGTGACCAACATATTGCATTGATAAGATAACTCATTATTTTTCTATAATTATTTCCATGGCAGATTTTCAATCTTTGACAAGAAAAAAGAATTTTGACATTCCTTATCATATTCATTTTCGGTGATAATAATATATATAATATTAAGAATCAGTAAACATTCTATAGATATGCTTAGACAGTTCACTACGCATTGAGTAGCCCTCGCAGCATAGCTGTCATTTTTATTTGTACAAGAAATGTTGGCGCGCCCTTCGCTTAATTTTGAGATTTTGTTTGCCATCTGCGATACGCGCATAAGTATTTTCATTCATTCATTCACTTTTGGCCATTTCGCAGTCAGTTGTCAAAATATTGGGCAAACACGCGCCAGGGCAGTAGTATAATGTCGTCTATCTTTATCTGTATCTGTATCTGTATCTGATTCCATATTTCACACAGATCTATAGCATTGACAGATGTATGTAGCTGCATAGCGATGTGGGCGCTGATTCGCCAGTTGGAGTAGTTGCTGTAGTTGTTGTTGTTATTCGTTAAGGAGACCAAGGTGAGAGCCGGAGACATAACTCGGGCTCTAATACGGCCATAGTAGCTTGGCCAAGTCCCAGCCAATTGACTTCGGTTTATGCACACTTTTCGTTCGTTTTTTGTTCGATTTTTTCACTTAGAGTTTGCCTTAGAAGTAAAACAACATGTTGGCTTTCAATGTTAACTAATTAACACATGGGGCCGAAATAAGTGCGACTGGTGCGTACAAAAATATATATATATAAAAAATAAAAAAAATAACTAACAAAAACATTGCCATTGACAACAGTAACAGCAGCAACAACAACAATAAAATACCAACAAATTGCAGCTGAAGCCTTTTAAGCATTTGCTGACAACATTTTTCATTTAGCCACAAAATGAGTGCAAAACTTTGATTTGATTTGATTCGAAATCAGTTTCAATAAAACATATTTCCACAAATGCCATTGTAAACAGGCCTTTGTTGTTTGAATGTCATTGAAAGAGCGGAAAAAATGCAATTCAAAAACTATGTATATTAGAGACTAGTACAAAAGCTGCCGCTGCTGCTGAAACTTTACTATCTATTTCAAGGCAGGAATTGAATAACATATGTATATGTTAAATAAAACCATTGAGCCATTGAGGTAGCATCAGGCTTTATGCTTTTGCTAATGTGGGACTGTACCTTCGCACCTTAAACTATGTTCAGTCAGGGCAAACACACTTACGCTTAGTCAAACACATATTTTAGTTTTTGTTTTTAAAATTATTTTATGGAAGCCGCCATAGCTAAACTGTACACAAAGAATCTATTTCAATAACGGACAGGTTTAACCCACTATATAGAAAGAACAATAAATTCTAATTTCGGGCGGACAGCCACCAATAATATAATGCTGTCAACGTCTTTGAAGCCGTCGAAATTATTCAGACGCGTGTTCAGCATATCAAATAAAGCTCGAAAAATGATGTCGTCGTAGATGAAAGAAAATGCTAAACAGACCAAACATACTGCCAAGAGAAATAAGAAATCTTTAACTGAATAACAAAAACAGAAAAGCAAATGAGAATAACTATACTAAATCAAAAGATAATCCAGCTGTTTCATTGGGCTTATATTCATACGTATCGTTATATAACGATTGGACAGGTTAATAGAATCAGAATATTTTAGTCTTCTGATGCCAAAACACTTGTCTTAGTTCAGGTCTTGAGAACCTTGGGAACCTCTGAATTAGAGATTTGCGAATTTTGATATCATTTGGATATCGTCCTCAAGTAGAAAGTTGAATAGTAATAGAGAAAGATATGCAGATAAATATAGAGATAGAGATACAGATACAGATACAGATATAGATACAGACACAGATATAGATACAGATACAGATACAGATACAGATACAGATACAGATACAGATACAGATACAGATACAGATACAGATACAGATACAGATACAGATACAGATACAGATATAGATATAGATACAGATACAGATACAGATACAGATACAGAGATATAGACTTAGACGCGCAGATACAGATTCAAATTCAGATAGATATTTAGGAAAATAAAGAGATCTATATAAATATATATGTAGATATACAGAAATATATACTAGTAATTAACAAGTTAGCCATACGTAGTTTTCATCTCTCGCTTCTTGACATACAGATTAATCAATCATCTGTCAATAGTATGTAAAATAATGTATATTATATGATAATCGGTAGCTTCTTTTTCATTCATTCATTTCAATTTTTTTTTGTAATTCGAAAATCTCCCACCGAGCCTGTGTCTAAGTCTAAGTTAAGAACTGGTTTTTGTGTTTGTACAACGCCGCGTATGCTTAATACTGTGAAACGTCTTCGATAGGTAAACTACTTAATATGCTAATATACGATACTTTTATGCATGCTTTTGGTAGACATTTCGGCATTTGATATTTTTTGTAAATATCTCTAGCCGCTCCCTTGTTGTCAACAGATCAGATATAAGTATCTGCCTTTGATCTCGTCATCTTTGAAAATTGTGACCACAAAGCAAAAAACCCGAAAAAACCTTGCAATATGTACGACTAAAAAATACCCGTGACACATGCAAGTCGATATTATCTTAAGACCCCGAAATGTTAAACTCAGGAATTCGCAACAGAAATGGGAAAGCCATTGTACTTAAAGAACTTCTTTACTGATTACAGATACAGCAAATATACAAGTTCCATTTAACTTGATTCTAAATGTACAGGGTATATGGTGTGAATGATGACGGAATATTTGAGGCCAAGCTGAGCACGGTTTTTTGTTTACTTTGGCTATTAGCTCGCCGCTCGATTGTATAAGAGACGATTCATTTTACCGAGGTGCCACACTAAGGCCAGCTCCAATTTCACTCTCGCGTCTGAAAGTGAAATTGTCAGCTGACTAATTTGAAGTTCATAGAAATCACGATGCGAGAGTGATTTGTGTTTGAGAAGTGATTGTCATACATATGGAATATAGTAAGTAATAGGCGGAGGTAATTACTAGGACCGATGAGGCAACTCCCTTCCTATATACAACGGCCAGATATCCGTTAAAGCTTGTCTGTGTGGGGCGTGAATATGAATGTAAATTGCAAAAAGTGAAGGCAGCGATGAACTCACGATTGGGTGCCCTTCGCCTTTGCCTCAAACTATTCCAGGGTTACAGGAAGTAAAACCGAACGGTCCCTGTGATTTGCGGCCGTAAGCTGAACAGGTTTTCCCCCATGGAAACAAAGAAGCGCTGGACGATGGGAACAACTTTCTTAATTTAAAACTGTTTACCTGCCGACTTTTTGCCAGTTTTAATACTAGTTCGTAAAATAAATAGAGTATATTAGTTGTGCAGCACTAAAAACTTCATTAAAATTAGTATAGACACGAAAAACTGCAATTCTACAGTTACACAGAAATGAATCCTGAAATTTTGAAGGTTGATCAGATGATCAATCAATTTTATTTTGTTGGATCAGGAACGAGCACTTTGCAGTCGCCTACAACCGATTCCAGCGTTCTTAGTCGTTTTCTTTGTACTCTTCTTTTTTTGTTTGCGTGAAGCGAGTGTGAAATCCAACTGTGTAAAGCCCACGGTTTCGGGACTTTTTTTACCGGCTTCTCGACCGCAGATTAGCATACTTGCAGAAACTAAAATACATACAGTAGAGTCCGGTTATAACGACATTCAAGGGACCGTCGTTATACCCGGAAGGCGCTATAAGTTGCTGAAAGTTGCCAAAAGTTAGTGTGGGGACCAGAATTTTCGTTGCTATAACCGTGAAAACAATATAAGCGGAGTCGTTATAACCGGGTTCTATATTAATAGTCTCTAGTTATACTGACTTTAACTATAAAGACTTGTTGAGCAACAAGAAGCGTCCCCATATGACAATAGTTTTAAATCAATAATCTAGTTTGCAAGGTCGCAGAAAGACAGAGTGGCATCTGCATAGCCATAAACTGGTGCTTAATGTATTCCAAATTTGCTAAAAACCTGCAGTTAATAAAAGACGGAGTAAGATTTATGTATTTGTAATAAAATCGTTAAAAGGACGGCCGACAACCATAACGAGAAACAATTGATGAATGGGATTTATATAAACCACCACATGATTGAACAACTTTGATTGAAACTTTTCTGTTATTCATTGGATTAACTAAAATGTGGATCATTTAAATAACTCAAGGACGGAGATACTCTGCACCACTAACGCCCTATACTCGATAATTAATTTAGAACCGKGTTCATAATAATAATAGTCAAGGCGTAATACAAATTAATAAATTTATAGCTAGCGATAAATATACATATATTAAAGCATAATTAAGTTAGACTATAATTTTTTTAGCTGCCATTACTATTATTATTTTTATAAAGTGCTAACTTAGTTTTTCTCTCTCAACCTCTAAAATGTTAAAATATTATTTTTAAATTGATAAACAAAATATGCTTATCTAAATATGCGTATCAAATTGTTTTTAATCACATTTTCATGAACTGAATATAGCTTATTTAAATTTGACAGAGTCTTCTTTTAATAGTCCAAAATATATTTGAATATAATTACAATATGAATGAATAAAAATTCTTTAAATTTATATTTGTTTTTTTCTTATTCTTTTCATATACAATTCAAATTCGATTTTGGCCTAGGCCCAATGCTGGACGAACTCACCTGACTCAAGACGATCGTCACATCGTCGCTGCGCAGGCGCGATATCATAATCGAGGCAATCGACAAAATGTAATCACCAGCCATTGTGACCTGTAAAGACAATGCCAAAGATGGAAATCGAGCGTTATATATAAAGACAATATATGGACAAATGTGCAGTTAACGATTTCGACAAACGCCGCCTTTGGTGGACAAGTTAATGACATGTACAAAGCAGTCGACTTAATCAACACACAAAATGTTAATTATTTATTCGGATTGATGATTTTGAGTTGAGGTCTTGGGATGAATAAAACTAATTTGAAAACTTGACGAGATAACGGAAAAGCGCGGCTCATTATTGAGAGTTTTTCGCTGTTGGGCTTTTCAAATGATGCAACCTGTTGACAAAGTCTTAACGCGGTTTAATTCGTTATACTATATTGACAGAGTTGCAGAGGCGTGAAATCAGTTGGTCAAGCAATTCATGTCAGCTGGCTGGCATTTAGTGTTTGGTATTTCGCGTTTGGCATTTGGCCAACAACAACAACAACAACAACAACAACAACAATAATTTGTATTTGAACTGATTGCTTACCTTCTTGTGATTCCACAGAGCATTGACGCTGGGCTTGCCGCGCCGAAAGTCCGACTGATCGATGACATCGTCATGGACTAAGCTGGCCGAGTGCACCATCTCGGAGAAGAGGGCTATCTGTCGTTGCTTGTGTACTAATTGGCTGTCAAGGGTACGTCAATGGGTAAATATGAATGTTTAATAAGTATGTAGGTTGTTATAATTTGGCTTTAATTGTTGTTCATAGACGACAGCGGAGAACGCGCACATTTCGCAAAGGCCCGCTAATCATTACACTGCTCAACAAAAGTGTGCCACAGCCAAAGCAACTTACTGTGACTCGTTGTTCAGATGATAATTCAGTGCCTTGGCCATCAACATGGTCACCATGGGACGCAGCGCCTTCCCCTGCCCGTCGAAATAGTAGCATGCGATGGTGTCCAGCTCCGGCTGTGACGTGCCCGACTGCAGTAACTGCAAACAATTCATAGATCGATACACAAATTGTGTTAGGAGACTATTTTTAGCTTCGACAATAATTAGCAAAAACTCGATAGAGTCTGGCAGGCGTTTCGAATATACATACATTGTGTGCTGACTTTTCGCATACCCTGTATTTCTGTGTAGACTAATTTATATAGATTGAAAATAAATTCTTGTTCAATATTATTCGTATTGATGAAATCTTTGATATAATCTACAGTTCCTTTTATCACTTTGTTTGTTATTTTTTTTCCTCCATATTTTTTTGAACAGAGCTATTTCATTGAAAGAGACTAATCAAATTTTGTTTTTGACCAATTAGTTTTATAAATTTTCCATAAGTAAATATTGTTATTTATTTTAACAATTCAGTTTAAGGTTATAGACCGTAAAATTTAACGATCTAATTTTTTTGTTGATTCTCAACACAGGGATTACGGTTACTGTAGTAAAAAACTCATTCTCCATAATGAAAACAAAATTTATTGAATCAAAATTATTTACACTTAAGTGTCAACAGCTATAGGGTATAAAAGAATTCCTGAAATATGGAATATTTCTTGACTTGACAATGTGACGCATTTGCTGGGCTCTAATTCTAGACAAATAACAAATTAGGTGAATTTCGGAATACCTCATATATATAAAATATTAAAATATATGGGGGTTTACTTAAAAATAAATTTAAAATTTAAAAGTTATTTTCGTGAAATATGTGAAGGAAATACCCATGCCATTACATTTGTGGCTAATGTAAAAACTCTACTTACATCTCGTACATCATCGTAGAAATACTTGAGCTCATCATCGAGTATTATGTATGGATCAATTTGTATTTCTCTCACGGGTCCAGCCGGCTGCTGTGTGTGCACGGAGCTGTGTGAGCGAAGATTTGGCGGCTGGCTGCAGCTGTGTGAGGTTTGCTGTTAGTTCAAAAGAGACACGAAAAAAAAGAGACATTAGAATACGCTAGAGAATTCTCCATAATTGCAACAATTATGAATAAAGTGTGAAAATTACAGGAGTAAACAAGCGCTGGGGTAAACGGCCATAACTCTCGCAGCCTGCGGCAAGAAAACATGCTGCACACGAATACAAATAGAAAAAAAAATTGTTTTTGAGTCACTTAACAACTTTCAATTGCTGACGGTAGCGAGTAGCACTAACGAGTTTTTGTGCTGCCCCAAAGCGAATGGCGGCAGCACGAGCTACTTTTTGGTTTTTTCTGACACTTCAAATAGACGACAGCTTCAAGTTTAATAACTGGAAAATTGCACCATCAAATCGCCAACAAATTACAGTTTTATTATTTAACACCCACACTCGCAGTACGGCTCTCGAACTCTAACCTTGTCGACTGCTTCAAATTAGGGCCATAAATTTAATCAAAACAAATCAGCTGAAATAAAAAAATGGACGTAGAATTAAGACGAATTTGGTAAACTGCAGGAATTATGAGATCTCCAGGAATCCTTAAGTGGTCACTTCTTGCTCAAGTTTAAGAAAATGAGAAAAAAGACCAAAATGTGCCTACTCTGTAGACTGACAGTCCGAGTTCATATTGATTCTGTTAATCGTATTTAACAAGCATGAGAAGGCATGGATGACCTCGTTAAAGTATTTTTGAAGAGGATACCGACCTGTTTGAAGAAAAGGAGAAAACAAAATACTTCACACGATGCGCATTGTCATACACTGAAGCCAAGGGCAATAAAGAAATGATATTAATTCAGTTAAACATATTTAACAAGCTTGAGAAGACATGACCTCGTTAAAGTATTAACGATAAGGATGAATGAGTCGGTATAGACAGTTTTCGGTATGCTTGTTTATGTGAAAATATAAAAGAAGGAAGCGTACCATTGTTTACGTAATAATAATATGCCACTTGTTACAGAACAGCAGTTCCAAATCGTGTCACAGTACCGCAAACTTAAATCATTTCTCGGAAATCGAAGTACCAACTTTATTGAATTTTTCCATATCTAGCTTAGAGAGCAATACAAAAATAGGAGACGTATTATATCATGAAGGCCTCATTTCAAAATTGATATTCGGGTATTACCAACAGAATCTTACTTGGAATAATGATATATGTGGGAGAGGGGCTTATAATGCCTGATAATATAAAAACAAACAAATTTATTTGCTACCTATTTCTATTTTATATTCTATGTCCATTTGGATTTTAATTAATTTGGGATTCGCCATTCTTTATCGATCGATAGCTGTTGACATATCATTAAGTATGTACATGCATAATCATTATTTGTATAGATTTTCTATTCCCTGTTGTGCAATAGTTCATAGTTACAAGCAAAGCATACTTAGAATCTTCTGAGAATTACAATACATAACATATTTGTTAAACATTCTAATTCTTATAAGATTTACAATTGTAATTAACAAGAACCGCCTCTTATTTAGGTACTTGTGTGCTCCTACAGCTAGTCTGAATTGTGATTAATTGTTATAAGCTTCGTTTCAATTTGTAGAATATAATAAACTCAGTACTTTCATTCTTATAAGATTATATACATACATAATATATTGAATTCGTTCTTATTCTAAAACTTTTATCTTATTCTGATGAATTCTTATAAGCTTCGATTCAAGTCTTTTAAGAATATATACGCATTTTATAGTGTTTCTTCTTATTATAAAAATATTTCTAATTGTCATTTATTCTGATAAACTTATATTTGATGCTTATAAAAACACATACTGTATTTATTCCTCTATTTTAAGATATCTCTTCACTTATGATTATATCAGAACCACATATCCGCTTATAATGTAATATAAAATTTTATATTGCATTCTCTCTCTAACTGTCAAATATTTCTTTTACACATATATTAGATTCTTGTCAGATTATTAAAGATCTCTGTCTGAGCTATATCTAAATTTCTTAAGAATTATATATATATTCCTCTGGAATCTTGTAATATTTTATTATTATCACTAGTAGTACAAATATAATTCTTAAGGGTTGACAAAAATGTAATAAATATCCAAATGGTAATATTGTCTACAAATATTACATTATATAGGTATGTGTCTTCATATTATGAGAGCACTACTTCTCTCTCTTATTGATCGTGAGCTTTGCTTCCTTTGGAATGGCATTATGCAACAGTCTCATTTGTATGTACATCACTCGCTTATTACTGAGTATGTGTGCTTGCTTCTTGTATTTGCCAGTCAGACGTACAGTCTGTCAATAAAAGCGGTGCGCATGTAAACACGATAACATGTAAATTTTATGTTTCCAGCTGTCAACAAAGCGCGCAAAGTTGTGGCTGCTGCTTCGCTGCTTCTGCTGCCGCTGCTGCGGCGGCTGATGAACGGAGGCAGGTTTTACTACAGGCAGAGCCAATTGAGCAGCAAATATTTGTGTTGGGTTATGCGATTTGATGTGCTTTGGCTGGTGCTGGGCGTGGCTGTTACGCACGCTGACCCAGTTGCATGCAGATCCGATCCTGCATTCGGTCAGCAGCCAGCAGCAAGACAGCCAGACAGCTAACAGCTAACAGCTTTACAACCCAAAGGCCATCAGCATTGGCCATAAAGTTTATCGCCCTTGGCAGCACCTATCTTGAGAGCATCATAAACATTATCATAATTGATGGTCTTTGGTGCACGTGTGGACCAGCACGGCGCATCAACTGGTTCGATCGACGACGATGGCTTCTCATTGACGTTGTAAAATACAAGGAAAACACTAAATATATATATGTGAATATATATTGTTTTTTCGTATGCGTGTGTGTGTGCATAAATAAATATTGACCATCACTTGCCTTTGTGTTCGTTCATTCAAAAGATCTCGCTCGCATTGGGCCTGTAATGACCCAGTTTCATATTAAGTAAGAGTCCGCAGACACAAACACACACATATATACACATACGCAGATACCTGTGCATGTGTCATAAATATTTTCGAAGTTTAGCGGCTTTGGAGTAGAAAGCGATCCAAACTTGACTGGAGTGTTACAACATCGACGCATCAAATTTAAAAAGCCAATTAAATTCAGCTCGTGAAAAGTTTCATTTTCAATATGTGCGTTAAATTAAAATTAGTACAAAGCTAGCTACTTCAATACACACACACACACACACATGTAAACAAATCAAATAAAAAACAATCATTTCTTTTCTTTTTCTTTTCATTTCTTCAATTTTTTTTGGCTTTCAGGTTAACAAACGTGCAAAAATGCATTTAATTGTGGCCACTTTTGCGTTCGCAAACTACGTTGAATGATTTATAAATTTTTAAATGGTTTTTATGGTCACTGGCCAATGACCAAACTTCCAGCTCGCCTTCCAGCTAGCCAGCTAGCCAGCCAGGCAGCCAACCAGCAAAGCAGACCGTCAAGAAAATGAATAAATAAATAGGTGTCCAAAATATTTGCGGATATCATATGGTTATGCATGTCTCGGGTATTTGGTAATGAGCTTGTCACAGACCTCTCCAAGTCCGCTTTGGGAATTTCCACAGAATTCTTGACACTGCCAATAGCATAATTAGTTTTCAGCCTCAACGGTTAACGACTCAGATCGGCAAGTTTACAACTGCAACTGGTTTTTGGCATTGCGTGTTGCAGACAACAACTACAACTACAACAACAATCATAGCAACAACCACAGCAACAGTTGTAGGAAACACAATTATCGTTGCACTTGGCTGCCAGCGGCAAGCAGAGGACTTTGACTGACTTTGGCTGATGCATTGTTTACATAATCGGAGAGAAATACATGGTATGATGGTATAATAATGAAAATAATAAATAATAAAAGTAAAACAATAAATATTAATGGTATAATAATAATTAGAAAATGGTCTAACAACTCGTTGCTTAGAAGATTATATTGTATATAAATATAGATATGAATAAACACATATATAGATATATTTTTCAAAAAGAATTTCTAAAATGAACTTCTACACAAGATTAAATAGTTAATTAATATATCAAATACTGTTAAAATTATGTATGTAAGCACCGCTGGATGTCTATTTCTTTGTCTAACATTATTCTCATGTTWAGYTCTGTTAATTGTAACGGAGATTCTTTCGTGTATGCTTTAAGTTCATTTTCGGCTGCCTGCGCTGCAGCATATATTCATTTGTATTTTTAGTCTCTAATAAACCTCTGAATCGAATAAATACATAAATAAATATAATTATATATGTATATATATCACTTGAAGATAGTTGGAAAAAAAGAGGAATTGCTGGAAAGCAAATTATAGTGGAGTATAAATAGAAATAAACATATCTCGAAAAAGGCTCAAGAAATAAGAGGCTTAGATCATGGAAAACATAGATACAAATATAGTCCAACAACTGAGAATTGTATGAAAGAAATGAGTGAAATATACATATCATTCGAGTATATTTAATTTCCTTATTGAAATAATAATAATAATGATATATTATCTTAATCATCTTCATTAACTTATTATTTATTGATAATAGTTTGGTATAATTAAAATAATAGCTAAGGCGCTGCTATTTCTATTTTTTACAACTAAGAGTTAATCAGGTTAAGAGTAGAGCTTTTACGAACATGAAAAGCATCAATGGACATTAATGCATGCGATATAGCGAATGATACAGGTTGATATAGTCTTAAACAACTCATGGAAGTAAATTGGAAAATAATGCCTACTGTTGGAAATATTACGACTCGTTTTCATGACATATTTAATATCACTAACTATATAACACATAGACTTCACATCTAGAATTATATTTTTTGCACACTAAACTTAAAGTTAGCTCCTAGAGACTTTGGAATTTGCTCAGCCCCCTCAGACAACGAAAATATAGAAAACCATATATGGTTTATGCTGATACGAAATAGATTATATTTCTTCAATATGAAATCATCTAGATTCTTATAAGAGGTTCAGTATT